GGGGGGGGGGCGAGGAAAATGCCTCATTGTTTTCAGCTTTCTTTGCCATGCCTATCTTCTGTCCCCCTGTCTAATAGCAGCACCCTATACTGCTCTTTCAACAGTAGGGAATTCATAAATGGCATTTTGCTATTTTTTGTTGTCATTAGTTTGAAATGCAACATTCCACTTTAACAAACAAAACAAGTGAACACAAAAATACACAGAGCAGAAGTAAGAAAAAACTGCTTTAACATTTATCTTTTCCTACTTGGAAATCTTTTCCCTTCGTTAAATATGCTCCACTTGTTTGAGAAAAACAGAACTTTGTTTTTTTCTCTTCCTCCTCTTCTTGTTGCACAGAAAACAAAAAAAAAAAAAAAACTTTTAATATGTAAATATACTAAAAGTTTATTTTCTTTTTTTTCATTTTTTTTTTTGTTCATACATTCCAGTTTTATTTTGTCGCTAAATTCCTGTAAAAAGAGCGTTTAGATTGACGTCTATACGGATACGAGAAAGGTAAGAAAAAACAAATAGAAAAATAGAGTTGAAAGAAAATCAAAGTACAGTTGTTAGTTAGTCCCATAGACAGTAGTCAACAGCCAACATTCATTGCTAATTGAGACGGTTAGCAAAAATGGGTAAAAAAATTAATAACAGAAAAAAATCAAACAATACAATTCGTATCTGAAAAATCAGAAGACTTAAAAAAAGTTACGAGGAGGATGACAGTTTTGTTTTTCACTTTTTTTTCCTTTTGGCTTCGAACTATCATCTGTATAGCTTCTGTTTAAAATAGTTCAATCTTGTCAGTTGTTGTAATTAGTACAGTTTAATAGCTTATTGGAAACAGTGATCCAGCAGCAGCAGCAGATCGCACATAAAAGTATCGGAACAATCGATATCGCATAAAAACATTCTGATGACAAAAATATTGTCGCTTCACCTTCAGAAACATTTCCTTGACAGATTTTCAGCGAATTTTGCTCGTTGTTCTTATCTGTTGTCATGTCTGTGGCATTCAATTCGTCTTTCATATGCCAATCAAACAGCATAATGCTAAAAAATATACAATTTTTACACATACCAAAAACGGTTTCTCTAACAAGGAATCAAAAAGTTGAATGCGAAAAAAATTGCTTCTTAATGAATAATGGTTAAAAATGGTTAAAAAATAAACATAACCTTTTGTAACTCTATTTTCCTTGCTTTTATTTTTCTCTATTTTTCAAGTTTTCTAATTTATATTTTTTTTTCAGTGAACAAAGTCAATTTTAGTTTGTACAGAATAGTTTGTCTAATTTTATCGTTACGTTTAACAACAGAATGATTGTAGAAGGAAAAAAAGGAAGAATCATATTCAAAAAAAAATTTCCTTTTTCACGTTCCATAATGGGCTGTTTGTCATTGCAGTGTGTCGACCTTCCCACAATGGTACATCCAGCAATGGTCGGGATGAACAATGAAGATATTGAGAATTCAGACGGTGAATCTGACAGTGCCGACAGCCCCGAAGCCGCCGAAGAAAGCGAATCTGATGAGAAACAGAAAGAGAAAGGTCGGTTTCAAGTTTTATCAAGCTTTTCTCCTTTTTTATGTTCTGCTCTTTGGCCTACTCTTCTTCATTTTTCTTAAATGCACTTTTTGGTTTCTGAAGCTGTCTTGTCGCTGTTGACTTTTTTCTTTCAACATTTTCGTATAAATTTTAGCATGCAGAAACAGATTACCTTATAATATAAAGTTAACAAGCTAAATTTAGCATCATAACTACCTAGGCTATAACTGGTCTTAAGAAGGCCAAATAAATCAAAAAAAAAACAGAAGTATAATCAAACATTTAGTCAGATTAGACTGAGTGATTGCTGCTGAAAGAATTGTCAAAACAGTTAGGTAGGAAGAATAGTCTTGTTTTTTGTTTTTCTTTTATATTTCGGCTTACTCATTTATAAACTAATTTAGTTTAGTGCAAGTATTTTTTTTTTTTTTTGGTTTTTTATTCAGCAGTATTTATCGCTCTGATTCATCTGTGTTCCGGGAATTTTTTTGTTGTTTAAATATTTCTGGAAATATTTATATAACCAACCATATAATCACCTTTTGATTTAGAATTAGCTTTTCTTTTATGTTTTTTTTTTTTTTTGTTTTTTTCTGCTAGATTTGTCGGCGGTGTTTCAGAGACAGGATAAAAGAACGGAAGAAGGGGATAAGGATGAAAAAAAAGTGATGGGAAAGAGGAATCAAAAGCAAAAAAAAAATTTTTTTTCTGTGTTGAGTAAAATAGAAAGGATGTCTAATTTTAATTGGACAACAAAAATATGCTAAAATCACATTGAAGAAAACAAAAAGTTGACTGATACTTTCAATTCTTTTTTCTTCTTCTCCTACTTCTTCCTCATTTTCTTCACCTCTAATTTCACTTCCCATTTCCAGATCTCCATCTTATTCACACTTCTTCTGCTAATCTTTATTTGAAACCATTCATAAATGGAAATGCAGGAAAAAAAAAAGTTTTCTTCTCGGGCTTTATCCATTTTTCTGCATTATTGTTTCCAAAGAAAAAAAAAAGAATTGAACATAAAAGCAATAAGATGAACACCCGAAGCAGCAAAAAATGCATATCGTTGTGATTAACAACTTTAAGAAAATTTTTTAAAAGGAAAAAAAAATAGAACAAAATAAAAATAAGACAAACAAACATACAAACAAAAACAGTAATGGAAAGCAAAAAATATATATATAACGAATATATTTTACAGCATTTTCACTATAATTTTCCATATGTTTGCTTTAATTTTACCAATTTTTCTTCTCTTTTTTTTTTTTTCACTTTTTTTCAAATTCTTTTTTTGCTTCCTTTTTCCAACTAATCCAAAACCATATATTGGCTTAAGCCGTTTATGGGTTTTTTTTTTAAACTTCACTTTCTTGCTGCTGTTATGGTTTTATGCAATTGCTTCTGTTTTTTTTTTTTTTATTTTCTGTCAGTTATACCAAATACTAAATGTATAACGATGGCAGGCAGATCAATGCTGCTATATATATATGTTCATTCTGCTTAGTCAGGCAATATTTGGTGCTCAATGTCTCTGTAAAATATACCAATAATTTTTGTATACGTATATATATGGTTGAAAAGCTGAGCAGCAAAAAAAGGTCATCGTCAGTTGTTAAGTTCATTTGGCTACAAAAAAAAAAAGAAAAGAAAGATAAATTGTAAAGGATATAAAAAAAAAAAACCAAAAAATTTTTTTGGAAAACAAAAGAAGAAGAAGAAGAGAAGAAAAAAAAAATTTATAGGCACAAATTTGGTGATATATGTCCAATTTTTTTCTTAATGGTTAATAAAAGCAATAATTGGAAAATGGTCAAAAAAAAAATGCCAGATAAGAAGAAAAAAAAAGACCAAAAAATACTGCAGAATAGATTGATATTTGCTTTTTGTTCTTACTGTTAAATATTTCTTTCTATTCGTCTATTTTACATGTTAACCATTTACAGTAAACCATCGTTTTGTTGAAAAAAAAAAGACCTTTTCTATGTTTATGGAAACTTACAAAGATACAAGATAGTTTTGTTCATTTAAAATACCTTTCTGTAGCATATATTTATAAATATAACACAGAATAATAATACTTAAAAGAATTACAAAAGACAAAGGAAAACAAAAAAAGAATCAAAAAAAAGATGGGAAGTAAAAGAAGTGTTTTTAAAAACTGAATATGTTCATTGATATTACTGCTGATACCCAATAGTGATATAGTTTACTGTTACATCAATAAATAATTTGTTTCTCGTAATTTGTAATTTATTTCTGGGGAAAAAAAAAACTATCAGCTGTTTTCAAAATGAAAATTTATTCAGCAAAAAAAAAAAATAGTAATAATTCATTCTTTTTTTTTTCAATTTAATACTTTTATACTCTGTTTAATAGACGAATAAGGAACCAAATATAGTGCTGCTGCTGCTGCTGCTGCTGCTGCTTTTGGTGTTGTTGTTGTTGTTAGGTTAATTGGATGAGATTGATGACCGGTATAATGAGCAGAAGTTTTAATTTGTTAAGGTGTGAACAAAGGTTAGGTTAATCGTATTTGTTAAGAGTAGCCGATGAAAAATTGTGGTCAAAAATAATACCGGTGATACATTGGGATCCATTTCTTTTTTTTTTTTTTTTGCCGGTTACCGAATATGTTCATTGATATTATCTTAAAAGATTAACATTTCTAACATCAGTCACCCGACACAAAAAAAAAAGGAAGGAAGGAACAGTAGAAGCAATCAGCAAACAACAGCTATATATTATAATAACGTAAAAGATCGTTTATCATTTCTGATGAACATTGCGCAGTTCTGTTTTTGTTTTTTTTTTTTTTTTATTTTGGCTTAACCTCACTGTCGATTATTAGGTGAACAATTTTTCAACTGAATGTTTTTTTTTTCTTTTCTTTATTTATTGCTGCTAACCAAATTTTTTTTTGATGATAAGAAAAAGAAAATAAGTTGAATTAAAATGGTAATCTAATTTGGCCTTTTCTTTTTGCTTTTTTTTTTGCCTTTTCTATCATTTTCTCTTTTGTACCGTGTTTATTTTTTTATTTCTTTCCTTTGCCGTCATAAACTGAAATAGTATTTTTTTTTTT